TTTTTGTTTTGCATAGCATTTTGCAATTCGGTTGGCCTTGGGCAACTCTCCGGTCCAGTTTTAGAATCAAATCGCTGTTGCCGGATACAATTCGCGCGATACAATTTGCGATGTACAGTTTCTGTCAAAGAATAAAAAGGAGGAAACTGTCGACAAACAGTTGCCTGAAAAAAAGACAAAAAATTGTGAAATTGGGCGAAAATCCCTCCTCTCGATCCTCTGTGTACCATAGTAACCATACCACGGTGACAACGTTCGCAAGACCTTGGCCGTGTCCGAATCACTTGGCTACGGCAAGCAACTACACACCGGTCTTCGCTGGCGGCCCCTGCAAGTTCCCACAGAGTCAAAGCTGGGTGATATTCGGACACGGCCCAACGTACTGTCGCGCGTGCAGCATGCATAAGGTAAACCTCCGCAGCTGAGCTGACCAGCTGAATATACGCAGCAGATGCACTGGACAAAACCTCGAACACAGCGTAGATTTGTAGAGCTATGCCTTCACTCACATAAATGATACGCGGAGACAAAACTGCTGAGCCTCTGGAAGCATGTGGCGGACGATCACAGGCTTTATGACTTCTGCCGATCGTGTGTTCGCTGCAGGTGTTAAAAGCTGTGCACAGTTCAGGGAGTTTGGAGGTTGGTTTACTGGGTTGTGTTACTTTTCTGGCATCCAAGCACTGATAACTTTTCACTACAAACTGCATGCTTCAAACAAACCCATTCACGATCGGGCAGCCTCACTCATGATTTAAATAGTGGTGCACTACTAAGGGTGGGAATACTTTAGGTACACTTTGACCAAATGTTGACATTCTTTATTGAAGTACAGTACACGTACTTCGGTGCTTTTCTGTATCACGGACCAATTTACCCACGGAGCGCAACCGCGAGCTCCAGTGCAAACACATGTGTGACCTTGGTTCCACGCGTGTTACGGATTGTTATTACCCCGGTCGCAGACGCTCTCGACTATGGAAAAATTCTCGACCACATGACACGCGTTGCAGCATGTACAGTGCAGCCGTGGTTATGCCGAGACGACGCGCCGACGCGGTGGTTAAATCTATTCGTTTGACGAATAAATCGTCTTCATTTATCGATTTCAAGGAGAAACGAAGTTTTAATGAGGCAAAAATTCCCAAATTTTGTGGTACACTTTTCTCATAATGTATAGGATGAAATATCTTGAGCAGCATATTTTTTTTAGAAAGGGTGTACCCTGACTTAAACTATTACAAGAAAATTACAAAGTGGCAGACAGGAATATATGTTTTATTATTAGAGAAAATCCAATTTAATTTCTGCTTTGATATTGTGCCGGCCGTAACACGCATTGAACCAGCTCTGAGCTTAAGTTGCACATCCTTGGGTAAATGGTCCGTGTCTGTATATACATGTACATGTATGTTGCATGGGCTGAGGAGGTGGCCGCGTAAGTCACACTAATTAATCATGTAATCAATCGGACCGTTAATCTGTGGTTTTTAGCACCTCCGCGGGTGGAGAGCTGGACAGGCCAAACCGTTACGAATTACATGTATAAACATCGTCAAACTACATTTTTGCCTACATGCAGGCTCATTTTTCACAGTGAAAATGGGCTTACTTTGCCACGTAAGAAATTTTCACGGTGGATAAGTGTCAAGTATAATTATTTTCACCGTGTTGAGATGTATAGAGACCTAAAGGGGAATGTGACAGCAAGGGAATGAACGAAGGATTGTAATGATTCGAGGCCGCAGGCGGAACTGCTTGTACTCATGCTTAATTGAATAGAGTAGGCCAATCGTGATGCTTACGTGGTCATTTACTGAGTTGTTGGATAATTAAATAAGATTAATCGTCTTGGAGAAACATAAACAATTTGAAAGCAAAAACTGCCTCAAGGCCTGTTCATACTGTACTGGCAGGCGAATGCAAAATCAATGCAAATTTGACGTCACAAAATATCGGCGGCAAAATTCACTCGAGTTGAAATGGTTCCATTTTGACGACTTCACAAAGTGAATAATCAGACGTCAAAATTTCGAAATATTTTGCAACTTTTTCCTTCCAAAAATGGAATATCATAAAAGAAAAAAAAACTACTTTAACTTTAGAGAAAAATCACACACATCAGAACAGGTTTAAATGTAGCGGCCGTCGCAATAATAATTTCTTCCTTCTGAAAAAAACACGACGTACAATAGAAATTTTGAGTAGGCCTAATTACACGTGGGAAATGTAAACTCCGTTTGGGAAAAACTCAAAGAAGAATATGAACATGCAAGGTTTCAGTTTGACAGCCTATAACCACGTGAATGTTTGCAAAAGTGCAGATCACACAGAGGGTAACGGCATCGTATGACTTCGTCCCTTAGACTAAATTATGCCAGCAGGAACAAAATCATGTGAACCAGGAATGACTAGGTCTAACACACCAACTGCTGTTCACCAAGTCCATGGATATTATTTTCCCAAAATTTGTTTATTTGGCAAAGACATTAAAAAAAAAGCGACACATAATTATGACTGGCCCCTTTACCCACTTCCCAACAAAGACGTACATGCTTCATGTTTAACATTTTTACCTGGACAAAATTGTGCGTTTGACTCTGGAAAGCTAATCATTTTGATATTAGGCGTAGAAACGGCACGTATATGATCGTACGACGCATCAACATGTAACATTAGAGAGAAAAATCAGCAAGCTGTTATTCATTTGACTTTATACTTTAAAAACACATGTGACCAAGATTTGTACAGAAGAATTCATTGAAACAGTTTCTTTATGATTTTTTAAAAGATGAAACTGATCGATACATTCGTCAGTTATAGGGTCCAACTTGTAAATTTAATTTTGAACATCTTTTGTGGAATTTTTCACATCTAAATCAAATATAAGAAAGCTATCTGCGATCTGCTGTTGGGTTCTCTAAAAAAAGAAGTCCACGTTTTAAAATCTCCGCTTTTTAAAAACCTGAAAAACTGTTTCCTGACACACGTTTCCTGACAAATGAAGACACTGTTGCCGCGATGGTGCAGGAAGACAATGCGAATCCAAGATTTTAACAATCCGTTACTTTCAGTGGGGCCCTCTGGCAACTACAATTACATTTCTCTTTGCTTTAATGATACAAACAGTCATGCGAATTTTAGAATGAGAGAGAAGACCTACAACAACAAATCTTGCGTTTAATAACGATCCGGCTCCAAATTTCAACAGCATCCTAGAGATTTAATCATTATGCATAGCATATATTGAACGCACTTCTAGTTTCTAAAGACAAAGACTATTGACTAATGCAAGGACATTCTTTGTCTTAAAAAAACACAACTCTAAACATAAGCAAGAACGGCGCCCATTCACATTTTTGTTACCAGCAAGCACTGGAAGATGGACTTCATATCAAATTGTTTCATTCATTAATACATCCCAATGTTGAAGAAATTCAAAGGCTAAAACATTGCAACTACTTGGGACATCGTTCCACCTCAGTTGAACTGTGGGTGATTCTGCCTGTGAACGAGGACGGGGTACGCGCATCACGAACATACATGTAAGGTGTCATCAGTTTGAGAAAGGAATGCAAAGATTGGCCAAGTTATCAGCGACATTATCTGAGTACCACAATCGAATACATAACCCTGTCAGGGCTAAAACGGTCCGGTATTAGGCATCACGTGAAAAAGACATCCCTGTGCATGGAACAATGGCTTATAGTTATGATTATTTTTAGAGACTAAAAGCAAAGACATGTTATGGCCAGTCAACATTGCGTGCTCGGGTTTTCTCCCCGAAGCACGCAACACTGACACGTGGACAGCGTGGGGTCACATGTGTACGGAGCCCGGGAGGGGACACGGTGGATTTTTTTAATCTCTCGTGAGAATATAGGCTGCAGAATTCTTTTTACGCCTACACGGATGTAAGCAGTCTGCATTATCGCATGTCGGTGTCGTTTCCCAACACGCAATACTGATTTGTAGACATACAATACAGGAGTACATCACCAGCAGGCCATTCGCTACGGACTCCAACTGTTTTGTGAGAACAAAATGAACAAAGAAATTGCGCCCGTTCCGTGTCAAGTTCGTAAAGTGTATATAATGTTTGCTAAATGCTAAGGTATTTAGAAGATCTGGAAAAAGGTTACAGTTTTCCTCTTTGCTGCTTCAAAGATGTCGTAGTGGCAGGGGATTTGCAAGAATTTACTTATGGTATCTCTGGGAAAGGAAAGTTACAGTATATGTGCTGCAGTACACTGCAAACATGGCTTTTCTGCAATTAAACCAAATCAACAATGCTGCAAATTGGAGTCTTGGCCAATCTATTGGAAATACAAAACCTTGCAGAAAAAGTATGGCACCGATTAATTGCCACCACGATCAAAACATAATGAATTGTAGTAAATAATCAAAATATCAAGCCATCTTCAAACATGTAGGTATACGGCCTAAGGTCGCGTCCAAAACCAAATTGTCAGGGGTTTGGGCAAACAAGTTTTTTTTTGGGGGGGTTTGAAATGTTTTTATATATTATTTTATGGTCTTTCTGAGGGAGTGAGACTACATTTGGGGGCTTTCAGCAGGCATTTTGAAGGGAAATGATTAAGACTAAAAAATTCGTCTCCCTCTTGTCAGTTTTCCCCCCAAACGTTTTGGTTTCTGTTCTTTTGGTGGGTGGGGAGGGGACGGCCTCCCCTCCCCCATCCACCCTTGTAAGCCCACACAAGGAATAGACCTTGAATAAAACTTCCAAAAAAATAAAAAGATTTGAAAATCCTTAGGCCTTATGTGCACGCAGGTCCTTTTGCCCATTATTAAACATCAATAAGTAGAATCGGCAATAAAGCCCGGCTACACAGCTAAGTAGTAAGTACTGCAGCTAAAGACACACAAACAAAAATGCAGTTGCTGCAACCATTTTATGCATATATACACACAATGTAAACGAAGGCCGAAAAGGCCGTCACAAAATGGAAGAAAAAATAAAAACGTTCAAGACGACTCACCGGTCATCTACAGCCAACACCGACGAACGGATGGCAGCGTGCTGTCTCGAGAAGAACTATAATGATATCTTCATTGTGCACCATACAAGTCTCATGTATTGGGCTTGACACAGCTACCGCGGTAAATTTCGAGGAACAGTAGAGACACGCTAACAACAGACGGAGCCTTGAATCTGGAAGACCGTTTCTCACCCCGGCCCACCCAGCGCATGTATAGAACGAAATGATGTGCTCACGTTGATCTTGCACATACACATGTACATGACATAAGGTCATTGTCATTGCTATGCCACGAGTTGGCCGCATGATCAGGGGTCATTTCTCATTCGGGGATTCCCCGCAGCACGCAAGCTTTTTCAAATTTCCCATCATGCCCTAAGAAATTAAATGTGTATTGGTCCGTCAGTTCTGTGCATTGTGTTTGTTTTTTAGTTCCTAGGTTTTCATTTAGAAAATTTTTTTTTCAATAACTCTTTCATAGCATGTGCACTTCATGAATGAGCAATTCTTTTGTGATTTCCGCACTGTGCGTACATGCCTCACAGTCCTTTCATTTCACGGGCACTGAACTGTTCGTGCCATGTGATTTACATTTTCCCTTCCCACACTTCTTATATAGCCTAGTACTTTGTTCTATTCACTGCTGTAGCATCCTGTGCTTGTGTTGTCCGCAATGTGGTGAAATCTGAACTACGCTGGAGTATTGTAACATAACTGAATAATGATAGAATGTGGGGCAGGAAGGAAATGGAGCTCGGCTTTTTTTTCACATTTTAGCTGAAACCCGGCAGAACTTAATAAGGCAAACAAATGCAGAGGGCAAGACAGAAAAATTTAATCATCAGAACAGATGCAAACTCTTGACTACAAACTGATGGAATATAACACTACATCTGGTCCAAGGAAATCATAGATGCAGAACTGGGAGCGAAAAGAAAAACTTGATTCCTTTGTTACAACATTTCCAAACCAGCTTTTTTATGTCCTCGTGGTTTAAGTTTGTAGTACAAACAGGAAATGAAACCAGATGGCAAACACATCTCAATTTTTTTCCATTTTGTTCTCTCATTGGTGCTCATTTAATTCTACATCCGTTTAGCAATAATCATATCTGCTAAAGCCAGCCTCTCCAACTCAAAAGGATGACCGGATGACATCTCCAAGGTACATGGGCGTAATTCCCGCGGGATGGAGGTATAAATTCCCCCTTTTTTGAGATGGGGGATGGGCTATTGAATCACCTCCTGCCCCATTTTGTGGAATGCAAAAAAATAAATGTGAAGACTTTTTTGGACTTCCCAGAGACTAAAACTATCACTCAAAGAGGGAAAACAATAAAAAAGCAATCAATATTCCATTCTGTTTTAAAGATGCTGCATGAATGTAACACACAATACAGATGGACATCTATATCATGAAACTCTGTATCATATAATACTGTCAGCCCCCGGCTTTCCTCATATTTCCATGGTCGGGCAAGTCACCCCCAGATCCCACTCCCATCCTCACCCCCAATTTCTGGCACATATTCACGCCATTGTCACTGTGAATTTTGGAGAATAATTCACATTGCACTTCTGCTAGAAACAAGTTTTAATGGGCTATTGACTGCTGATTATAAACCATCTCTAAATTCCAAACTATGAATCCTTTTTCAGTTATTTTCGAAGCACTGAGTCAATTTCAAATCAGCCGTTTAAAAGGGAATAATTGTCTTTGTAATTACATAGGATGAACAGTCTCAAGCACTCCGTCCGCCAAAGGTGACAAATTTAAACAAGGTCCTATATCAGAAATCCTTTTTGCGATTTCCGGAGCAAATGAGAATCGGTCCAATTACCGATTATGACAACATGGCTTACACCTGCCGTGTAAAGATTCAGACTTGCTCTACAATCAATTTCACGGGGATACGCAGAGTTCAGAATTTATAACCAGGTTATTAGTGTTGAACGGATGATGATAAGAAGCAAATCCACTGGAAATGGAGGCTACCGCAGGAATAATTGAGAAATAGGGGGTAATAACCGAAACCAATTGAAAAAGTGAGTCTCTTCTACACCTTTTGGCAATATTTTACGATGATACGGGCAGTAACTGGCTTATAACAAATGGTAATCTTTATATCCATCCAATGAGTATATTTTAGTTCCACGTTTTCAGAAATTCGTGCTTTACTGACTACAGAATGTAATTAAAAAAAAACACGCACCACCCAGGAAGGTATATAACAAGCGCTACTTTTCTCTAGGCTTCACACTTGTGCAGCTCCATTTCGTAGCGGTCCAGCACTGAAACGACGAATCCTCAAGTGACCTTTTTGATTTGAAGAAACTGGGCCGTGTATATGTGAGTACCAGATCAGCTCTTAATAATGAGGGGAATAGAAGCTTTTAATGTTAAAGACTGGGATTGAAATACCACAAGGGGCGTAGCGACGGGGCTATGGGGATGCGCCCCCCATAGTTAATTTCGTTAGGAAAACGGAGCCTCAGTGTCAACTTTATCAACATTTAATTAAATTTTTATGTGATATGTTTATTGTTCTGTTCTCGCTTTTGATATTTTGATGAAATTAATATGCTAACTGTTAAAGTGCTACGTATTAATACAAATCTGTAATCGGCAGCAGGAGCATTGCATCATACACTATATAAATTATGACGTGTCTCCACATCACTATCCGTTACTTTTATCCGTCCATTATGGCCTGTTTACAGGTGAAAAACACCACTCTCAGTTTTAACGAAGAACGCACTTTGAATAATCTGCTATGGCCTTTGTATGGTAAGTTTGTGATTTCGTATGCTTTGTTTATTAGCTGCGTCATTTTACTTGAAGACTGAAATGTTAAAATTTAAACACCTTCAGTGTTACAATGAAACAAATATATCGTTGGGCACGGCAACATTGACAATGATACTAAGGGCACGAATAATGAGTACTTTTCTCTCCTGTTGCTGATTTCTTAGCAGCATAATTATTGGAAACCAACGTCCTTTCTCAAGCTGACTTTTATAAGGAGCGAAAACCACTTTCGTTTTTTTTTCATCTTCAGTTGGAAGCGCATGTTAATTTTGTTGGTGGCGATAGGGATACTGATGGCGCACTGCCAAAGACTTGAGGACAGTCTGGCCGAGGAGGAAACTCAACAGATCGAGAGGAACTCAAGGGAAATCGATGACGATGCATCAGCTGATGGCCTGGCTGTGTCTGATTACTGGACCAAAATTGGCGGATCCATGATCCGTCCTTCGGTTGGTCGTTGTGGAGTCTGGGGAGTTAACATTTTTTTTTCTGTGTATTATCGCCGTAACACCTACGATAACCCGAAAAGTTTGGGTGACGGGTGGCTTGGGGTTTTAAATGACAAACCGATTAAAATCAGGCAAGTAAGTGTAGGCTACAATACAGTTTGGGCGCTTGACCAATATTATAAACCGTATTATCGAGAAGGCATAACTGCCTCTGAACCTACGGGGACTAAATGGGTGAAACTGTCCGACAAAACGCGGGTGAAGTACATCAGCGTAACTCAGAAGGGTCATGTTTGGGGTCTATCAGAGAGAGACGAACCCATTTTTCGTAAAGGGGCGAGTAACACCAACATCGCCGGAAGTGAGTGGCAAAAAGTTCCCGGATCGAGAATGCAAAGCATAAAGGCAGGTGAAGCAGGTGTGTGGGGTATCAACTGGGGGTTGCCAGAGAATAACCAACTTTGGTACAGGAAGGGTACCTACGGCGACCCAGACACCAATACAATTGGGTCTGAGTGGTTGGCTGTTGGAGGGGTATTTTCATACATCAGCGTAGGGGATCAAAGGGTGTATGGAACAAATTATACCAGCGAAATTTTCTACCGTAGTGGGATATCGGCTACAGTGCCAACTGGTGACAAGTGGGTAGAAACAGATACTGGTGTCAGAGGGTTAAGTGAGCTGGCGTACCTGAAAGACACTCTGTGGGCTATTGACTACAACAGAGCGATACTCGCCAAGATTGTAACCTAGTTCTTCAACTGGGCACTTTAAATACAATATGAACACTAAACCATGGTCTCATGTGCGGCCCTATTTAAATTTGAGAGAATTCTTTCACATGAGCAGTGATTGGGTGGCGGGTGTTTTTGAGAATTCGATAAGATCAAGTGCGATATCATGCGTGCATCATGTGTGATATCATGAGCGTATCTTGCAATAAGCTCATGGAGGAATTATTCCATGATACACTGTACATTTTCACAGATCCACTTTAAAAAAATTTCATCTGCTTCACAGTTAAGACTATGCTTCCAACTCAGATTGAAAACGTCTTGAATCATGTTCCGATTTTTTTTAGTCCATTGCATTAATTAATTAATGTAAATGGTTAGAGAAATTCACATTAAGGTTTTAATCAATGCTAATTTTAATTTATGTCTTGTGATTCATATCATGTTGTGGCTAATTAAAGTCTTATTATGCATCCATAAATGTGAATTGGTATCATTCATAGAAAGATTAATTACATTGGCTGATAAGTATGAGTATTATTCTTCAAACTTTGAATTATAAGTTTTTTGTATAAGGTTTAATTATGGAAACTCTCTTATAATACAGTTTTGAACCTGGTAATATTCATGAAAACCATGTCCAAACACCGCTTATTTTTCAAATTTAAACAATGGGAGAACTTGTTGGTTTTGTTCATTTCCCGAACGTGTCCCGTTCAGGCATAGATCGATCTCCACTACTGTATGAGTTTCATTGTTTGAGAAATCTTCTGAATGAAGTATATAATATAAAATTTGTGCTTGCCTTAAACCGAAAACATTGTTCCTACGATGAGGGTGTTATTCCGGACTAAATATTTTATTTATCCATAGTTTCTGAGATATGAAAACACTGAAATATTTATCATCTGAGCACAGCAGAGTAAAATAACATGCACATCAAAACTCACAACGCAAATTTATACAGAACCAAGCGCGAATAAACTACAAGGGTAAGGGAACCAGTCTACTCAGTGGCACACAGTTGTGGGGAATCCCCGAATGAGAAACATGTTTTCAAGTCTTGACTGGCTCCCGGTCCCTACAGTATCAGTCGGACTACGTAGAGGGATTGTAGTGAGAAATGAATTTCGTAGTTATTCCCCAGGGTTTATGTTAATTTTGAAATAGCATTTGCTCTCACCGTGCAATGCATAATCAGTAGGCCCTATGTCAACGTATTAAACATTTTGCTTTTTCTTCTTTATAATTGGGGCACATATTCATTAATTAAACGTTGCTGGATATGTGGTAAAGGAGCAAGATAATTATTTGTGATGTTAATTTGACATGAGTCATGATCGAGAAAATGCGAAAACACACCCCTGGCCCCCATTGGCTCCGCCACGCACCACTGATACAGTATGCCAAACTCTGACAAGGGGAACGTACGTATTTGCTAGGGGCGAACTAGCGGTGGATCCAACTATATTCATTCAGACGGGGATCAGTCAATGTTGAGTCAGCACTTGTTTTACTGACGTCAGGGGTGTTTATTTAATGAGGGCGGAAACCTAGTCTAGGCTCAAGACGTTAAAACTAGATCGTGGGAAAATGCACTGTACCCTCTCCCGCAGAGAAGATCAGCACGCCAACTGTTTCCGAATTACTTAATGTCTGTGACTTTGAATAACACGACATTGTACACTGACCTCGTAATATTTATACTTTAAAATATTTCTAAGTAGGGCTAAGTTTGACATGGCCTCATTTGCGAGAAGAATTATACTCTGCAAGGGTGCTCTGCAAAAACCTCTATTAATCACTCACGTCTTGGACCAAGACTATTCACACTAGGAATAGATCTATAATTTACTGCAGACATGATTTTTCGTTTCCGCCACGCCATTTGGGGTAAAAATCGAAGGACTGCTTGACTCAAGACAGCGTTTTGCAAGCCCTTAAGCGAGATTGTCTAATCTTTTACACTCGTGCCCCTTCGTGAGTTCAGTTGAATTCTGCCATCGTCATTTGATACAGCATTGGTTACAGCTCAGCAATCACCATTGAGATCGGTGAGTCTTCTGCTTTTTGTTTTGCCTTTTCATTTTAATTAGCAGAAGCAGAATGGTCATCCAATAATATTGCCCTCCATCTGGGCTCGAAAGTAGGTTTTGAATGTTGTCAAACACACACTTGGAGACTCACATTTTCTATTGGTGCTTGGGTCTGTCCGTAACCCATGGTCTGGCGAATTGTAGGGTCTGACCAGTTCGCACAAATGTGCGTTTTACTATT